ACCCGGTGATCCCAGCAGATGCCAGCAATATTTCTAAGGCATCTGTGGTCAAATACTAGTAGCTTACGGGTGTCTTCTACTCTTAAGGGTCATGTTTCGCTGCCGTAAATTAAAACAGAACGAACTGCCGCGCAGTATACTCGTCCTTTTATTGATAGACGGATATCTCGCCTTCGCCATAGGTGACGTAAGTTGGCAAAAGCCAAACGAGCTTTTCGAATCCGTGCTGAGATTTCGTCCGATACCAACCCATTAGGGCTGATCAGACTTCCAAGATAAGTGAAGTTGTCAACGCGTTCGACTACTTCACTCCCTATCCTTAGTTCAGGTGTTGACGCAGACCAGTCCTGAAGCAACAACTTGCATTTAGAGGGAGAGAAGCGCATCCCAAACATTCTGGCATTGTTGCTTAGTGCTACCAGAAGACTCTGCATTTTGTCAGCGTCTTCACCAAACAGGACTATGTCATCTGCGTATTCTAAGTCGATAAGTGGACCTCCTGGAAGGAGATCAATACCCGAGAATTCAGTCGACGAGAGTGTTATTTCCATCAATAGGTCTATGATGAAGTTAAACAAAAATGGAGAAAGTGGACAGCCTTGTCGGACACCACTTGAGGTTGCAAAAGTAGATGACAGTTCGCCATAAGCCCTGACTCGACTAGTAGTGTTCGAGTAAAGAGCCTTCACAAGGTTTATGTACTTCTGAGGTACGCCTTTCAATGACAGACACTGCCACAGAGTCTCGCGGTCTACCGAGTCAAATGCTGCTTTTAAGTCAAGAAATACCACCATCGTCGGACGCCGATAAGTATGCCTGTGTTCTAGAACCTGACGAATGGTGAATATGTGGTCGATGCAGCCACGACCAGGTCTAAAGCCAGCTTGGTTCTCTCGAGTTTGTAGTTCACGAGTCTTAGTTAGGCGTTTGATAATTATCGAGGCCAGTATTTTAGAAACTATGTTTGTTAAACTAATCCCTCTGTGGTTGTCACAGGATGATTTTGACCCTTTCTTATATATTGGGACGATAAGTGATTGCGACCAGTCAGATGGGATAAAGTCTAATTCCCAGATCTTAGCTAAAATATTAGTCAACTTAATCGCTAAAATTGGACCACCATCCTTAAAGACCTCTGGAGCCAATCCATCTGGACCAGCTGCCCTTCCTCGTTTCAGATTAACTATAGCCTTTTGAACTTCAGCAAGAGTAGGGGGACCTACTTCAATGTTCCATTCACACTGTCTGGGAATGGAGGGTAGTTGTAGAGTAGCTAAAGGCCAGCTGAACTGTTCCTTAAAGTGTTTCGCCCATCGTTCTAAACGCCTGGACTTGGAGCAGATGAGTGTATCGTCTTTTTCCGATATAATCTCACTTACACTTGACTTATTAATTCCAGTTTCTTTTATTAGTCTGTAAAGCTGTCTTGTGTTCCCTATAGTCGCCGCCTTTTCCATCTCTTTTGCTTTCGATGCCCACCACTGCTCACGGTCGTTTCTTAGGCTTTTTCTTAACTTAGATCTGATTTGTTTTCGCTCTTCATCATGTTCAGAACCTGATGGGACGAGTTTGCGAGAATCCATCAGTGTGACAGACCTTGAAGAAATCCACTGGTTCCTTGCAACTCTGTGGTTTAAGTCACTAATAGATGTCACTGCTGTTTCCACAGCTGATTGTATGCCAGCAGCTGACCGCGATGTGATCAATCTGAGTCCAGGCTTGGGATGCAGAGGGAGGACGCCAGGTGGCACATCGGCAATGACTGTGCCGAAAGTTAGTGCTAGCCAGGAACAGGTTGTGGTCTGTGCAGAGTTGCAGTAGACGGTCCCCGTCATCTGTCCTGCGACCAACAAGTCCCTATCGGCCACCTAAACGACTCTCTTCTGTGCCTAGACGCCCGACCTGAGCATTCAAGTCTCCGGCTAGTACTACAATATCTGTCGAACGCACTTTCTGGCGAAGAACAGATAACTGGTGGTAAAACTCATCCTTGATTGCATCCGGGCTGCAATCTGTCAGGGCATAGGCGGAGATGACAAAAAGACATCGTTTCTCACTACGATTTCTTCTCACTTTGATGGAACTTTCTAATCTAACAGCACATAACCGACTGTTAATGCGGATCCAATCGATTAGTGCTGCCTCAGCTCTAGCGCTTGGTGAGGCACCAATGCCAGCAAGACCAGACGAAGATGCTTCAATTGACTCATGATTTCAACCAGTGAAATTTCTAAAAATCTTCACATAACCCATTCTGATAATAATAGTCTATCAGTTTAAAAATCGCCATAGAATATTCAAAACTGAAGAATATGTGAGCGAACGATTGTTTTCAATAACTTCATCATCAGGCTCTACAGTTATAAGTTCATAATTATGATATTTTTTTACAAAGTCCAAAAAATAAGGCAAGTGTTAATGAATTTGACAATGTTACGTGTTAAAATTGGTAAACGTTTGCATCTGTTACGATATGTGTACTTCAAAATTGTATTATTTGACAAATTATAAAGGTCATTCAATCAAGGTCAGGACGATTTGGAGTAAAGTGTTCAGTTACCATAAGTAGAATAGTATTATAGCAAAAATAAAAATACTGAAAATTGTGTGAATAAAATGCATAGTAGGAGAATTTAATCTTGTCAATTGAGATAATAATAATAATAAGATTGTTTTGGGGATATAATATGGGATAAGGAGGGTGTTATCAAGGTAATTACGATAAACGAATCGGGAATGATCGATGTGAAGATTAAGATAGAGATAATAAAAAATAATGATAATAAGGAAAAAATAAATAAAAATAAAGGAAGGGGGTAAGAGGTTTATAATATTCAGTCTAGGTATTCGGTGGTCCAGTCGTAGGCCAAGGTAAACCTAGAGGCTGGATATATTTTTTCTGGATACATAAATTTGGTCTTCTGTAGTTGATCCAGATGGCTTCGGCTATGTAAAGCAGTCGTAATCCAGCCCCGTGAGGTAGATATTTTGGAACTTGATCTAAAACAGAGAAAGCTTCCTCTATTTTGATATGATGTTCACTATCTACCAAGTGAGAAAGAATGGTACTGTTAATCGATTTGGTAACTCGTTTTCCCAACCATGCTGGTACAGGTTCACGAACACGCAAGGATAAAGCCCTCTGAGCACGTCCTATGTAACTAGCTTCACAGGAGCAGTTGAATTGGTATACATACATGGAAGAGCCCATCTTCGGTAACCTATCCTTGATTAGTTGTGTGAGTACTGGTTTAGTCGAGAAAAATATGTGTAACTTGGCGGCATGAAACGTCCTTTCGACAGATCTTTTGAGTCGACGTGTTAGAATATCACCCGCTATGTCCCCTTTAAAGTTAAGTCTCAGGTATAAGGTCTTTTTACTATGTCGCAATGTCTTCTTTTTTTAATACTTTATACGAGGTATTTTTTTTGATGAAATTATCGGGATAGCCATTATTTCGTAATGTATTCTTTAGTATATCTATTTCGTCATCTACACTGTCTTCAGAACATAATAACTTTATTCTGTGGTTGAGACATTTAACCAAATTTATTTTATATTGAAGAGGTGTGAAGCTTTGGAAATGGGTATATTGACCCGGCTGTCTTTCTAGAAAGTAGGACATCTAAAAAAGCTATACGATTGTCTCTCCTCTTCGCTGGTGTATTTAATGGTTGGGTGGACATTATTGAAACAGTCCAACATCTGTTTGTCGATATTTTTGCCACATATGATTAGTGTGTCATCTATGTATCGACAGTAATAACCAAGCTTACTTAGGATTTCTTTAAGCGGTCCATTTTCTAGTTTGGTCAGAAAAATATTAGCAAGGATCGGGCCTAGAGGTGATCCCATTGCTACCCCATCTACTTGTCTGAAAATTCATTGTTAAACTTAAAGTAGATATTCATAGTGCATTTCAACAGAAGTTCTCTCATTTTACTCACTGAGATCGGTATCTCTATTTTTTCTAGCAATTGTTCACATATATAATGGATAGTTTCAGTCAGAGCAATGATGTTATGTCTAGTGATAACATGGTTTTGCCATTTATATTCATATTTTTCATTGTATCCACAAATTCAAAGACGTCTTTAACACTATGCTTAACCAGTTCTTGGTGCAGTGGTTCTAATAATTTAACTATCCATTTTGCTGTTAAATGGTATTGTGAGTTTGCCATATCCAGTATCGGGCGTAAAGGAACACCAGGTTTATGAATCTTAGGTAGACCATATAGTCGAGGGGTATGTGTTCCCGAAGGCTTGAGCGCATTATAGGTATGCTCAGTGATGTATTGATGTTGTTTTCAAAAATGTTAATGCTGCAGTTAGTTGATGTTCGGTCTTTTCATTGAGGTGTTTACATGACCCAAGCTTTTGGAATTTGGTTTGATCTATGTAACCTGTCTTGTTTAGAATTACAGTGCAACTATTCTACTTATTGTGACTGAACACTTTACTTCAAATCGTCCTAACCTTTATTGAATGACCTTTTTAATTTGCAAATAATACAATTTTGAAGTATATAGATATATATCGTAACAGATGCAAACGTGCACCATTTTTAACATATAACATTGTCAAATTCATTAATACTTGCCTTATTTTTGGCCTTTGTAAAAATATCACAATAATGATGGACTTATAACTGTAGAGCCTGATAACAGTGTATCATTTACAAATATAGCCTACTGTGAAATAGGTAGTAGTATCTTACAAATTAAATTGAGTGAATTGTTTACCATAGCCTCCTTAAATAATACATGGAATTAGTAAATTTAATGTTTATTCATAATAATATAATGTCTAATTGACGTTAATAAGTTGTAAACATTCAATGTGTTTCTTTCTTGATTATATGCAAAATATCGTAAAGGCTCCTATACACAATCACTTCAAACAAAATGAAGATAAAATTACCAAAAAAAAAAACTTTCTGCTTATAGTAGTCACCAATGAATTTTTATCAATATAATCTTTTTTATTCTATTCTTTAGGCTGTATGTTGCAGTGATGGAGAACACTGTTGTCCTGAAGGTTATGTATGTGATTTATCTGTTGGAGAGTGTATAAATCATTCGAAACCATCAAATGAATTGAAAAAGTTTTTACCAAACATTAATTTATCATCATTACCAACAAAAATTGGTTATAATAATCGTTGTCCTAACAGTGATGTTTATTGTGAAGATAATTCAACTTGTTGTGAACATGATAAGGAATGGGGTTGTTGCTTGTTCTCAAATGTAATTTTATTATATTACATTGTATAAATATTCTTTTGCTTAAAACTCAAGATTTTAAATTCAATCCTTTAAGTTAACTCATAGATAATTATTGCTTGAAACTTTCAATATTATGCGATAGTTTCAGTTGTCTTCAATTTAGATTGGATACAAATTTTTATATGAAATACTGATTGTTCGCATGCCGTTGAATAGCAATTAAAGTTAATTCCTGGACTTCTAGTGAGAAATCTTGATTATGGAAGTTGAATTGTGTTGGGCTTTAGACAGTTGTTCCCAGTTTTCGTACAATATCGCGAAATATCTGAAGTTTGACTTGTAAACTTTTGAATCCTTCCTCAGTGGTTCAAATTTTTAGTGCTTGTCGTTGAAATTAATAGTCCTAAGTTCGATTCCTAGTGGGATCGTGGATGCCCACTACCACTGAGTATTTCAACACTAAGACGAAACAGTTGTATAGTGCTTTTAAGATTTCAGTAATTGCCTAAGATTAATCGACGATACTACTCAAACAGGTTAGATTATAAACAATAAATAACGCTGAATTGAATGTTAATATGTACGAAGTTGTATGGTGCAATTTGCATGCAATTAACTTACATCATTTGAAGTCATCCCAACTTCAAATAGCCGCTTCAACTAAGAATTGGAAATCAGTTCAACCAATAAACATTGAATTATATCAATGGTTTCCTGTTTAACTTGCAAATAGTTATTCAATCAGTTTCAAAAATGGATTCTTAACGTAGGTTTAAATCTATGATAAATAGAACAGTTATACTGGAATATGTATATCCGGCTATCATATTTCGCAGATGTAATAAACGGACATTAAATAGCCGTACTCTTATGATGTTCATAATGCTAATTAATGTCTTTGATGTAAAACAAACAATCAAAAAGCATTAAACTGTAGATGATACAGAAGAATAGGGTGTATATCATGATTTATGTGTTGAGAATGCTAATTTAAATCTCTTTTATAACTTAGGTACGTTTAAAATTTTTCTCTATCTTATTAGACTTAGGATTTGTAATTAACAATATCGGCCAGACTATAATTTATGGACGAATCAATCAGGTACGAGATAAGAGGTCTTGGATTATGACACGAAATTCATCCATTTGGCATCATAGCTGATGTCAATTTGTGATGAAGACCCTAAATCTAATACGTAACCTTGGTTCTAATTCCTCAAACTGATTTATAACCTTCATTTGGTTCTAATTAATAGGTGGTCACTCTAGTGTCGCTGAAAGGTCGTCGATAAATTATAGTCTCACCACAATATCATCTATGCGTTTCACTACGTTTACTCAAGATGTAATAATGTAATTCAATAATCACCAATTGGAGCTATTTGTTCTCAACTCGAAGTTATATATATATCGTTTCTACATTTGATACTTGTATTTTTATTTTTTAAAGGCAGTCTGTTGTTCCGATGGTGTTCATTGTTGTCCAGCAAATACAATTTGTGATTTAAAAGCAGAAATGTGTATTGGTGAATCAGGTGATATTCTCACTAAACTACAATTGAAATCTAAACCTAAATTTAATTCATTCAAATATAATTCACGTATTAGTATTTGCTCTGATATGAAATCAGTTTGTATTAATGGTACATGTTGTTCCAATGCAAATGATCAATTATCAACACTTTGTTGTCCTTATGAAAATGTATGTTTCAAAAGTTTATTTATTGTTATATGTTATATTTTAACATTCTATTTGAATTTTTTTCCGAGATGGACGGTTTATAACTGGATGTACTTGCACCTCAGAGTTGATGTTCACTCTGGGACTCAAACCCCGTACTGTTCGCTTCAAACTCCATCGCGTTATCCACTTAGCTACTGAGTCCTGATAGCCACTTGCTTGTGCAATGGGGTGAAGTTTGAATTCACTTGATGCTGTTTATTTTGAATCTTCCCATTGATGTTTAGGACTGCAATTAATCAATCTCAGTGATGTCTTATATTTTTTTTGTTGGATAAACGGTACTATAAGTTTTAGAATTAATGAATAGTGAGTAATAGTAGGATTCAGTAATCGCGTTTCGTCTTATTTTGAACTTATCATCTGAATATATCTGCATCCTATCATCGATGTTTAGAGTGTCATGTAATTTATAACACTATTCGTTCTTGGTTAAAATATAAAGTGTCTTTTATGTATTTATTTATTTAAACACATAAACATTGGTACAAGGGAGCGCCAAATATACACGCGTCATACTTCGTCATTTGATTTGTTTGAGGGCTGGAATACTACCTGGAAGCCTCCCGGACAGGTAAACGGTTGGTGACTGTCGTACTCCATCATGCTTTACTGTGTTTTTAGACAATTCGTTAGTAGTCATTCTATTTGTGTTCCATTATTATTGTTAATTAGGTCAATATTCAAGGCGAAGTCGACATCATAAGTTGATAGTTATAGAAAAATTCAAAGATGTACTTTGAAATCGTTTGTTTAATTTTAAAAAAAAACATATTTCAGTAGTATATGTATTCATAATCATGTAAATTTATCATATGATTGATTCATCAGTCAGTCAGTCCAATTACTTGACTAATATGATACAATTGACCACAGATCCCTCAGAAATATTGCTGGCGTCTGCTGGGATCACCGGGTAAGTAACAATGAGTTTAGACGCAGGGTATTAGGGAATGATGGTAAATCAGTCGATGAGGTTGTGAATCTTCATCGACTGAGATGGTTGGGGCCACGTGTTACGTATGCCCGAACACCGATTACCACGACGTGCAATGCTAACCGGTGTAGGGGATGGTTGGAAGAAAGTTAGGGGCGGCCAAACCAAAACGTGGCATCAGTGTTTGAAGTCACTAACTTCTAGTCTGAGCCATGTTGGTAGATGCAGACTACTTGATTGGGTTCCGCGTGACTATCGTAACTAATGGTTGGAGACTCTTGGTGACATGGCTCAGAATCGATCACAATGGCGTCAGTGTATACACTCTCTATCTTCCCTTAAACTAAGAGATTAAAATCACTTCATATCTTTCTTTCTACCAACTAATTCTTTCTTCCTGTACTATATACTTATATGCAATCTTTCTTTTATATATTACCACTTCTGAATTAACTACTTTTATGAATCCGGTGTCCATCTTGTTGTGTTAATGAGGTATGGCAACTTGGACTGATGCATATATGCGCCTGGTCCTACGTTGTAACTGACTGACTAACTGATGATACAATTTTTATTATAATTTTCAGGCCGTTTGTTGCAACGATGGTGAACATTGTTGCCCAAAGGGTACAACATGCGATATGGTCAATGGTGGTTGTATTATTTCACAAGAAGATTTATCAAAATCTAATTCTGTTCCATTGCTTACCAAGGTCTCAGCTTTACATGTTACTTCCAAAAATAACACACAGTCTACTGTTTTCACACAAGTTTGTCCTGGTGGTAAAGCGAAATGTCCAGATAGTGCAACATGTTGTAAATTATCTAGTGGGGAATATGCATGTTGTCCAATTCCAAATGTGAGTTTCCATCAAAATATGAGTTTTATTAATATAAATTAGTAATCATACTTCGATAACAAGGTTGCAGACTTTATTCTTTTTTTACTTAAGTTGAGTTATGATAAGTCAGTCCGCCTACTTGAACATTTGTTTCTAACTTTCCAGCCGCTTCCTATAACCACAGATTACGCATACGCCTAAACTTGAACAATAGGAAAAAGGAGAGAAATATGAGTCAGCTCTTTACTTAAAAATGAGTTATGTCAGTCACTCATACTGTATAACCTGTTACGTGTGTACATCGGTTCAAGTCCCCATACCCAAATAACAGAGAGAGAGAGAGAGATGGGATTGTAAGGCGAAATCTTAGAATATTAGAGGTAGTAACAGTATCAGTGGCAATAGGAAAGATTAGATATCAAACACGATTTGGAAAGAAAATATAAATTAATGAAATAAAAACGAAAGTAATGGTTATGAGGAATTCAGAATTTCGGGGATGACAAATAATGGATGCATCTGCACCATTGCAAACGATTTTGAGCCATGTGATTCAAAGTCCCTAACTATTGGTAATGATAATCACGCGGATCTCAACCACGTAGTCTACACCTATTAACATGGCCAAGTCTAACTATCTATGACTTTATGGACTGACGGCATGTTTTGGTTTTGCCGCCCCTAGCTTTCTTCCGGATTACTCCTACACCACACAACATCGCCCTATGGAGATTATAAAAGTTTGAATCCGTTGATAAATATCGTGTGCCATATCACCAATCACAGTCCTAATTCTAATTTAATCTGTTTCGCGTCTACCACTTTCTCGATAGCCCAGTTTCCTCAATTTGTATAAATACATGCTCGATCAGTACCATCAGCTGTAAATCAAACAACTCACCTCCTATTGGTCCGCTATTCTTACACTCCTCTCTATGCCCTGCCCTGAGTTGAGGAGTAGCAACCAACCTCTCCTACGTTCCTATTTCAAACAGATGCGTTTCTTATACAGGCATACCAGACCGCATTACACCATAGAACAAGTCAACGGTGTCTGTGTATGGGAGAGGGTGTAAATAATGGAATGAGAACAAAATAGGTATAGTAAGTCGTACAACAGTACGGAATGAGTCAACTGAAATCCTATGATAAATGGTATATATATAACAATTTTTCAATAACCATGGCTTCTATAAATCTAAGAATGGGCCCTTGATAATTTCTGTACAAAGCCTTAAAGACTGTCTCAGGGTTGATCCTTTGACTTGTTTCAATTGTGTTTTACAATCTAGGAACCTGGTTTTCTACTTTCTGCATTTATTCAGTTGATTAAGACTCAATATTCATTGAGCTATTTTGGCATATGCTCCATCACAGCTGATTAAATGGAGAAGTAATCAAAAATTCTGTAGTAAAGGAGACAAACAATCGTTAATTTCAGCATAACTTTGAATCGTTTTGACATAATCAAGAATTCGCTGTTCATGATGAGGATTTTAAACAAGTTTTCTTAGTTGATTGTTTTAATCTTTCATTGTCTTTTTAGATAGAGTCATCTAAAGATGCTTTTTTAAAGGATATTTTAGTGATGTTGTTTAGGACGATTAAAGCTCCATAGACCATTGAACCAACCAGTTCAGGCGAACAGAATACATTCAAAATTTTGAAAACTTGTTCAATATTTTATTGATTACGAACCGATTTAAGTTAGATTACCATTAAAAATGTGGAAGCACTGGACAACTGTTTCGTTTTTGTATGGAACTTCTCAGTGGTGGTGCACATTTATGACACCGGTATGGGGGACTGAACCCAAGACCCTGTTTAATATTGTTCAAAATGATTTGAATATCTGAATGCATCATTAACAATTAAAACGTTTGTCAATAGTTTTTGTTTTATTAACATATTGAGATAAAGCAACGTTTTGGCTTTTGTAACAACAAAGTTTTCTATGATAAAGGTACTTGTCATCTAGTTTCAATGTTAAAGATGCTACCAATCTCTCCCAATCTTAATTTTTCCCCAACCGTAGTTAAAAACAGTAGTCGGCGTTTAGATTCGTATGAACATTGGTTCGTTGGGTAAAGGAAATATGAAACTTTGTGGCAGGCCTATTAGCTACGGACAACTCAATCATGTTTCAGAGAACATCTTTTGAGTTTTCTGCGTTATCCATTCTGTTTTTATAACTAAATGCCATTCTGGCATTGTAGTTTATTTCAGTTCCGAATTATCTTAATGAAAATAGTTGGTAGAAGTTCCTCAATTTGCTATTGTAGTATTTCTCAATGTTCGTATGTAAACTACAGTCTTGCTAAAAAAAATTTAATTTGTCTCCTGATTTTACAGTGTTCTTTTGTTTCCTATCTTATTTAAAATTTCAATTGGTATATCCATCTATAAATAATGAACGACAAAAATGTAGTGCCATTTATGACTTCAATTAATCCCGTATTTCTCCTTTCTATTAAATGGATACTAAATTGCTTAGAATGAACACTGAACGATTTATCCATGTATACAACTCATTCACTCTACACTAGATACTCCGCCAGGATTATTCTATCAGATATCAATAAAAATAAAATAAAAAAAACACATAACTGACCTGAATAATACATACTTTTAGAGATAACACTCTCCTCATCTAAATTTCCAGGGGTTGAACTTCTACCGGGAGGTTCACTTGTTGACTTAGAATATGCAGATGATATAGTTTTATTTGGTGAAGACGCTGACAAAATACAGAGTCTTCTGATCACTCTAAGCAACAATGCAAGTATGTTCCGGATGCGATTCTCTCCCTCGAAATGCAAAATGTTGCTTCAGGATTGGGTTACATCGACACCCGAACTAGTGATAGGGAGTGAAGTAGTTGAGCGTGTCGACCGCTTCACTTATCTTGGAAGTCTCATCAGCCCTTGTGGTGTGGTGTGTGACGAAATCTCAGCACGGATACAGAAGACTCGAGTAGCTTGCTTTTGCCAACTTGCGTCATTTATGGCGTAGGCGAGATATCCGTCTATCAACCAAAGGACGTGTTTACTGAGCAGCAGTTCGTCCCGTCCTACTTTATGGCAGTGAAACATGTCCGGTAAGAGTAGAGGATATTCGTAGGTTACTAGTATTCGATCATAGGTGTCTTCGAAATATTGCTCGTATATCCTGGGACTATCGAGTAAGTAACACAGTTGTTAGGAAACGGGTACTAGGTAAGGATGGCAAATCAATTGATGAAGTAGTGAAACTTCATCACTTGAGATGGCTGGGACATGTGTTACGTATGCTCAACCATCGACCGCCTCGATGTGCGATGTTTTGTTGTATAGGAGTAGGTTGGAAGAAAGCTAGGGGCGGCCAGACCAAAACGTGGCACAAGTGCATGAAGTCAGTGACAAGAGGACTGAGTCATGTTTGTAGGTGTAGACTACCTGGTTGGAGACCACGAGATGATAGCGACCGATGGTTAGAGACCCTGAATGACATGGCTCAAAATCGTTTGCAATGGTGCAGGTGCATCCACTCTTTGTGTTCTCCCAAATTCTAATCTTCTGAATTCTTCATGTCCGTTTCTTTTTCTCTTTCCAAATTTATTTCACTGTATTATACTCTTTAAATAACATCTCCAAACCCTAATTTTCCTGATTACTGCTTATACTCTTATTACCTCTACCACTACGGGATTTGAGTCGGCAATTGTATCTGTGTGCTAATGTGGTATGGCAACTCGCACTGATGTACGTACGTACGAAGTTCTACGTTGTTACTGACTGACTGCATTAGCCAACAACTGACAGTAATTAAACACAAGAGGTCGGGAAATATATATGATATATCATCAAATACCTGTCAGACTATCTACCAGGTTTGTCAAGGTAACTCAACCAGTCATTTTTTCTCTCTTGTTTACACAACAGAAACACAATTGAAAACCATCATTTCACCTGTTCTCGAGATCTGATTTTCATAAAAAATACATGATATTTTTCAATGGGTATAATAATTAGGTGATAATTTTGCTTTATATGAGCTACAATTAGTTAGCTTATGTGTGTTAATCAATCAAATTATTCCCAGTTGCCCATTTCATGTAATGATGCTTCTTAAAGAAACCGGAGTTTTATTGATTGTAGTGACCTGGAAACGTGGCTGCAGTACCAGAGGAACAACTTCTCGATCTTTTTTGGAATTGTTGTCGGTAAGTTAGTTCTGTACTTTAAAGGTCCTATTACTAGAGACAAGAGTCTATGGGATAGGAAAAATTGTCACATTCTTAGGACTGGTATTTTTTAACCCCTCCTTTTTGTTACAGCACCGCTGCAAGTGTTGGTTATGTGGAGAAAACAGCTTGCTGCCACCACATCTCAGTAACAGTCAGCAGTTTGACTTCACTATTGGACCGTAAGTTGTTACTTTTAGTCTTATGATTTTGAGATGGTGTAGAAGGTTTGTAGTTCATGTGAATAACTTAGGTGGAGTTTTGTTCTGTGAGCGCGATCATTATCACATCAAGGTTGGGATACTAGATCACAAACTAGTTTTGCCTATTGGAAAACAAGCTGACTTTTCCTTTTTTTCTTATCTGATTTGTGAAATTTGTAAAAACTGTTCACCTTTTCTTCAAATTCTGTATTGTTATGTTCAATTTCATTATAGGCTATTTGTTGTACAGATGATATTCATTGTTGTCCATCAGGAACTTCATGTGACTACAAAACTCTGTCATGTGTAAAAACGGACAATGGTCATTCAATTGGAAGCCCAACAGCTAATGAATTATTACGTAATCCTGGATTATTGTTTACTGGAGTACGTGATCATGTTTGCCCTGGTCATCAATCTACATGTGCTGATGATCAAACTTGTTGTCCATTGCCTGATAAATCGTGGGGTTGTTGTCCACTGAAAAATGTACGTGTTATATATATGTATGTGTATATATATTTTAAATGGAGTTTAAATATACATAGTTTATATAATTCACTATGAATTTCTTAGAATTTACCCCAGGGTTGTTCATTTTGGCATCAATATAGTACATTAAAGTGATTAAATGCTGTGCCTGGATATCATTTCACTTTTATTCTCAAGCACATTTTAAGTAGTAACGTTCGTATTTATATCTTTCGTTTTTATTTATTTAGATGTCGTAAATTTCACTTGTTTATTTGTTTGACGTCTCTACTTATATCCTCTTAGTTTTTTTTGTAATATTTCCGTAAAATTACCGTTCTGCAAATGCACTGTCTCTCTCATTATGTGTTATCTTGAGTGCTGTTAAAGGTACTATGGAGGAATTGTCAATTCTATATCATTCAAGTTGTGGAAGTATTCTTCTTTAGTTACGTGAAATTGAAATTGTGTTAGGGATAACCTTAAGAATCTAGGAGCTTGGCTGCTAAAGCCAGGAGAAAATCAGATAAGTTCGATCACTCACAACCTTTCTGATATTAGAAGAGTAACGATTGATTAAATGACTAAGAATCGTTTACAATAAAACATGTATTTATTTATTATCTTCACCTAGATTTCAATTTCGAGTATTCGTACATGCACATTTTTTTCATTCTGTCGTCTTGAATGATGTTCTCACTGTTCTATCTTTCTCATTTTCAGTATAGGGTTGTGGAGATTGTTGAGTTTTAATTGAGCTCATGAACCGATAAATGTTAGACCACTATTGAAAACCTGGAGGCACTGTGAACGGCCCTTTCTTCCTAGTATGGTACTGATAATTATCATATGTTCACTGGTGACTAGATTTGAGAAGTAATTGTCGGAGTTCAAGTGCGAAGCCATAACCACAGGAGTTCAACTGTGTCGGATGTGGGCGAGTTACCTACCGAAGACAATGAAAGATGGTCACCTAATATTGTGGGTTGACTAAAGTCAGATATTAACACCGTTGGATGCCGGCTCGTTGATCTAAAAGTTAAGCGTTCGTGCGCGCGAGTGAGGGTCCCGGGTTCGATTTCTGCGTGTGAGATCGTGGATGGGTACTGTTGAAGAGTCCCGTACTAGGACGAAATGGCCGGTGCTTCTAGGTCCTTTTACTTTCAGTCCTACTAAATCATTTCCACTCCTTTATCATTTACTCCGGCCATTTCACCTCGTTATGTTAATGTAGTGCAGAAGCTTAAATCATCTTATATTTATGCTAGACTGTTGATTATAACTAATTACTGACTCTTCTCTCTCTCTCTCTCTCTTTATATATATATATCCCCAAATGCCCTGGTAAGGCCGAGAGTGGGGAGAGTCAGCTCTCCCTCTCGAAATGCTCTCACATGTTTACGTGCATACAACCACTGCCAGGGAAGTCTTACTCGCTGCCTTCTTGTGGCGGGGGTGTTGTTTACGAAATTGACAGGACGAAAAGCTAATGTCCAGCGCTTTAACCGGGTTGGTGGATACCAAGGATCCACCTAGGGGAGTTGGAAAACCCTGATTCCAAATCAATGGTGCACATTGCTTTCAGGATCCTATGGAAAAAATGGCGTATGAGCCTACTGTTGGTCACCGACTACTATAGGACTGTATCTCCTTAGGTTGCTCCACTTCTTTTCTGATTAGACCTTTAGGTTGAATGCCCTAACATAAATCGAATGGTTTATGTGGTGCATATCTATTCGATCCCTCTTTGTACCAATGTTTATGTGTTTAAATAATTATATATATATATATATATATATATATATATATATATATATATATATATATATATATATATATCATGCATAGCTACACATCATCATATCTATCCATTCTCATTTATAATTAAACAACATATTATTTGATAAACAATCAATCCAATTATAACTAATTTTGCATAAACTCTAACTAGTGATTCGCAATTAGTTATTATTCTATAGACAATTAATCGATTACATAATGAAAAAAACGTTTAACACCCTTTATGTTGTATAATTGAGTGGTAGCTACTTACATGGTAACAATTAAAATTGTAATACTGTCTGTCATAAGTTCCGTCTACTTCATTGAATGGTGCAAGAATCGACTAATTATTGATTTAATTTAATGATTTATTCATAGGATAAGAGTATTATTGTTTCGATGATAGAATTTGCTTATTTTCAGATGAACAGAACAAATATTGTTAAGTTGTAAGTATACAATGTATTTATGTGTCATTATTAGTGTGTTAATGTTATGACTTAAGACGCTAATCAATATCATGTTTGATATTACCTAGTCAGCATTCCGATTGTCAATTAGTTCACCTATATGTATTGCCAGTAGGATTAGTGACTTTCAATTGCACTGACTAATACACACCTACTAATGAACTACAATCAAGGCCTTAACACGCTTATTTGTCCTCAAGCTCCTTCTAACCCCAGTGATCAATCAGAAGATGACGATAGGATTCAGATTAGTTCTCTATTGTACTCAATTCAATTATGATTCAAAAGTTATGCAAAAATATACTTAAAATGACAAGACAGCACACCAAATAATAAATCTTGCTGTACATAGAATTATGCTGATCGCGGACTAAACAGTCTGTAACTAATTAGCAATAACTAAGGAACACTCAAATATGTAACGACAGTTAATAGATCCACTGATAGCTTACAATTAGGGAAACACAGAAATGCGACATTACAGTTATCTACTAATTATACCATAAAAGTATAGATAATAACAATTTGAATGGTAGTTTTGAAATCCCCAACTTTTCCAATATTTTCATCCCGTTATAAGAGCTGGAGATTACTAAATTTTGAATTTTCACATTATGATTAATATCTTCAATGGTCATGGAATATAGCGAATTGAATGAAGCGAGGGTTGTAAACTATTGGATGGCATTTATGTGTTTTGAAGGCTAGACACTCATCGCGATGCTTACAGGTCCTCGATTCAATCTGTAGTTGAGTCGTGGACTGAATTCCTAATGAGTTCCATGATCGGATAAAACAAGTGTTCAGCATTTCCTGATTTTTAATGCTTGCTTAACCTACATAAAATAAATACTCTGGCACGTCTGAGAATAGGGAGAGTTCATTGTTCTTCTAGAAATGCTCTCATATTACACGTTATTATATCCTCTGTTAAGGGATACTCACTCACTACATTCACATAGCAATTGTGTTGTTTACGAAAATGAAAGGAATAAAACCAGACGTCTGTCGGTTAAATGAGGGTTGGTAGACAACAGGAGTTCATTTAGCGGAGTTGAAAAAACCCTGATTCCAAACTAATGGTGCAGATTGGTATCAAGGTTTCGAGCGAACAAATGGCGTACGAACCTACTATGGTTACCGACTACTGTGAAAATCCATTGCTTAACGTTTCCCTACTGGCTTGTGAATTAAGTGTCTACATCAAAAGCTCTACGAGTGGCTTCAGAATGACAGTACCCGTTACGATTTAGACTTATCAATGCAGTATCTCATACAAATCTTGTACAAATATTTTTATGGATTTTGTCTTGCAAATACTATTTATTGACTCCGTCCAAGTTATACAAGATTTTATATGAATTAAATAGATATCCATAGTTAATCTACAGAATGAAACTTTATTTCTGATACATTTACATTCTACTTTCCTGGCTCTTTCTATATCCCATATCTTGACAATCTTTAATGTGTCTTATTATTATTATCATCATTAGTGAACTAAGAACACCATCAATTTCTGTACAAGTTTATATTTTTTATCTCATAAAGTTTATATTAAAATAGATGTATAATAAAGAGATATTACTTCGTTACCTATCTACCTATCTGGCTCCCTACCTACCTATCAACTTCCAGTTTTTTTTGTATTATATGTTAAGACATAAATAGTAAATGACTCTAATGTCCTGTTAATCATAGCAACAGAATAATAATAATAATAATAATAATAATAATAATAATAATAATTGTTATTATTATTACATAGGATTGTTTATCTAATCAACCAAATTAATGTATGTATGTTTCCTTTTGTCGAGAATAGAAAACACAATATGAAATAAACAGAATGAAATATCATTCGATAAATATCATAAAATTTCATGATATTTGTTAAAATTTATTACATAACTATTTTAATGGTACAATTAGGTTAGTTGTATGTGATAATCAAATCAATAAGTCACTAACAGAACTAGACTAAATCTTCATTTCCAATGGGATTAAATTTTGTGTGGATTAGTTGTGTTCTCTGATGGTCGGCGGCCTATGCTCCATTCGGAGTAACAGGCGTAAGTAAGTAAGTAAGTAAGCTGTGTTCCCTGGTTTGTTCTGAGTAGTTTAATCTTGAGGCTTTTATTGTCTTTCTACTTAATATGATTCATCAGCACTCATTCCGATTAGAGATAAGCTGTTTGTGTTCTTAAAAAAAATTAACTAACAACTCGTTTTCCTAGTTTAGATCACAAATTGATCTTAGCCAGACTACCACTGAAAACCAGGAAACACTGAACAGCTTTGGATGTACACCAACGGATTTCGGCTCAGTTGCCTAGGTGTTAAGCGTTCACAATCCCTTTGTTTGGGTCGCGGTTGCGTGTTACCACTGAAAGGTTCCATACTAGAATGTAATAACTATTCAGTGCTTTCTGGTTTTCAGTTGTGGTCTAGCTAAGACCATTTCGTGACTTAAAACTGAAAAAAGTTTACTGTCTCTCCAAACACTAATGTATTAATAGCAACTTAATATTGATCGATTATTGTATCGATACATTTGTTTTATCATTGTATATTTGCACATCTCTCATCGATTGTTTCTCACAAACTTCATTGTTCCTTCATTTCTGTTGTTATTACGAGTGCTCTCTGTTTACATTCCTGTTCTCTACAGTTCTGTTTTCTCAACATTCTGCTGCCAGACACTCCACTTATGATTGATGCTATATACTACTTATATCTGTTGACATAAGTAGCATATATCACATATTTATTTCCATGATCTCATAGTTTCTAGTTTTTCCAATTAGCTAATAAATTGGATTGGTTTTTATATGTTTTATTGGTGCTTGAATGTTAAACTAGTAAAGCTGTTGTGACATTCCCCGTACTCTCCCCATCTTGGATTTCAAATGGTCGAAGAATCACTGACTAAACAGACATGAGTGTATCCTATATGAATATTCGCCAAAATTTGAATGAACGGTTCGACAGAAATTAGGCATGAAATGTATACAGAAAACATTAAACTGTATAAATTGTATTTGAAATCATCTCAGTGATTGAAGTTCAAGTAATTCCAGTGTTTCGCCCAACCTGTTTGTAAGAGTTTCTTTAGGGAAATAATAAAAATCATGAATGTATATTTAGGGAACAGAATGTTTTTTTTACACAAGCTAATACCTGTAGACTTGTAGTTCGAAAGAATTGTCAACAAACGTTAGATGACTAATAGGTAATTTCTGATATATGTAATATATTATTGTGAATATTCAATTCTAAATAACATTCAACAGAGAACTATTCATCATTAGATATAACTGGATTTCTTTTTCATCTTTGTTGGAGACTCAAAAGTTCATATTAATAATTCAATATAGGAAAGTTTATTAACTGTGTACTACTTCTAAGACTTTAACACTAGAGACTAACTGATCCAACTTGCGAGTTTAATCACATCTTTCAAGTTCAACTGGGAGAAAGAAATCTAATATTTAATCTTATTTACTAACATCAGTCATTCGAGAAATTCCCCTCCAAAAGTCTGAAATTAATATTAAAATTGATATTCAGTTTATGAGTGTTCATTTCTTGACAGATATACAAGTTTATAGTAGTCCGATAAGCACATTATCTTCCAATAAACACATTCCTGATATAGTCACATATGTTAGATTATTTCTTTGAAGTTTGATGCATTGAATTTCGTAATAGTCATTCATTCATAAATTGATTTCAATGACCAATGAGTTTACTTTTCTTACTAAACAAATTAATCTGGTCTCATCATAATAAGAGAGTAACCTCCGTTTAGTCACATGTTTCTAATTTCATACTTGTATTAAGCAATCGTAAGTTTACTCTAATCCCTTCCTAACTAGATCATTTCAATGTTCTTGAAATAAAATTATCGAATAACTTCCTAGATTCAACTGAAGTATGTCATTACAATTAAAATCATCAAATGTTTAGTTTATTTGAATGAACATGTATGATTTAAATATTATTACCTATTTTGTACAACCAGTTCTGTTTGATGGTTGGAGGTAGTTCACAAGGAACGCTTGAAGACCTATATCTCTTGCTATTATGCAACGGTTGCTTAGTTTTTAATTCTTCTAACTTTCAGCTACTTTGGTGTTTTTAATCATTTGTATCTTTGTTTTTGTTTTACTGGTTCGAATACACATTGTTCTCCTTCCCTTCTGTTCTTGTTCTGATTTGGGAAGAGTCAAGTGAAGTATGGAGTATGTTTAACGACTATTAGACAGTAGAATAATATAGCAGGTTATTTTGTAGAATTCAATCATTTTCCTAACAATATTAATTAGTTCCTTTAGCCATAGTTAGTGTGTAGTGATAGGTGTCTGATTGAACTAAGTTAACAGATTCTGGATTTTCAATTATGTAAGTCTAGATTTGTTCTCAAGTCAGTTGAGTACAATAGACATACCTAAATACGTAACGATCTAAAATTCCATATAAACATAAATATGATTTTCTTGAAGTTTTCACTTAACATGATCTCAGTTGATATTCGTCTTGAATCTTTTATTTAAAAAAATATTATTCTGTGTTCCTTTTTTACTTCAGGGTGTTTGTTGTCGTGATCATCTTCACTGTTGTCCAGCTGGTTCAATTTGTGATTTGGATACAAAACAGTGCATTTTACAAATTGAATACAATCAATCTACCACAAAAATAGTTTATGATGGGTTTACTATGCACAAAGCTAATCAAAAGTTATCAAATAGTTTATATTCACAACCAGTAAAATCTATTAGTACTATTGATACTTATGTACAAGCAAAATGGTGTGGAGCATGTGGTGACACTTGGGCTTGTTGTCCAGATGTTACTTTTACTTCATGGTCATGTTGTCCTTATGTGGGCGTAAGTTACGATGATAATTTTAATTGGATTATTATATTATATTGATAGGTCTTGCTACCGAAATGCTTAAACTGTCTTCCTAGTTAGTTCCGATAACTTAAAATTACTTCTACACATCAACTGGAATACTAGGGAGAGAAGACGTGAATTGCGAATAAAAGCTTTACTTCAAGGTTAGTTTATGCTATCGACCAAGTTGCAATACAGCCACTAGTCTAGGTGACTCGACATTTTGTGCACTCTGTTGGGATAAGATGGTGGTTGGAGGTAGTCAACAGGAAACCCTGGGCCTGGGTTTCGTGCTGTTTGGCATTCGTCAGCATGGTTTACCTATAATCTTGAGGGAACTGGTACTCCCTGACAGATTCGATCCCGTATCACCCAGCTTCACAGTCAGAGACGTTAACCCGAATTATTTTCATCTTTAATGGATTTTGATGAATAATTAATTAATCTCAGTTCACTGTCTATAAAATATCTAAATTATCAATGTGTTATACTTTTTTTAACTCAATTATTTACTACTTAATTGGTTTGTGTAGACTGTAGGAATTTCTATTTTATTGTTAATTTAGGGAGAATGCTGTATTGGACAAAACACTTGTTGTCCTCCTGGATCACGTTGTTTAAATAATGGGAAATGTGAAAAGATCCAAAAGAATATCTTCAAATCATCAGCATCTGCTTTAATACCATCTGTTTCAATGAATAACAATGTACAAAGACCACATTTCATTAAACAAAATAATGAGAAAGAAAACTTCCAGATAGAAATGTCCAACAGTGCTAAACCTGCTCAAAGAAATATCCTTCTTCTGTAAGTAGATTTTCTTTCTCTTTTTTGTACGTTTAAAATGGTTTTTCTCGTGGTCTGTGTCTGATGATATTGGAAGTTGATTATAGAGCCTGTTTATTGACTTGTTCACTTTAAGGTCATTTGATCAATGATTTTATGGTTGACCGACGATACTATGTTTATTTTACCAAATAACTCAATGACTTAATCAACACAAGAATAATTTCACATTATGGTTTCAGTAGACCTAGGACAGTGTTTCGCGCACTATAATCATTGGTAATGGTTACACTTGAGGAGGAAACCAAAAGAGGAAGTTTAGAGTTGAAAGTCGACGTACGAGGTATAATAGGAACTGAAGAGGGAGATCGATTATGAATGCAGTGATTTTGAGTGTTGTCACAGGTATGAGAGTGGTTTTTACTTCCCGGTTGCCCACACAGTGGAATAGTCTTTCTACAGGTAACTGAAAAGGAAATTCAGTTAGAGTTGGTCTTAGTCATCTGAGAGCGTGACCACAATGCCCAAGGGATAGCTGCTTGAGGTCGATCACACACGACCTTTCTGTGAGTAATTTTCGTGTTAGCTCCGTATTGTTGAAACCTTACCGTCGGAGACCGATATCCGTGGGATAGAGTGGTGTTCATTTTTAGGATCGACCTTTTCTAATTCCACCCCATTCTTGTGGGAAGGCAGCATCGTTATACTGGTTGTCTGAAGGAAACATCTTACTGCCGTCACACCTCTGTACAGTCACTAGTATGACTTCGCCTTCGAACTTTGAGTTTGCTGCTTTTAGTCTTACCGCTCTTCAACCGACCTGTCTGGTATAGCAGGACCTTGTGGAATCATTGTTCCAGCCAGTATAAGGAACCAAAAATGAGGGATCAATCCATGAAAACACTGTCTGTTGGACTGAGTCATATAGTGGTAGTTGGAGATTGCCTGACTGAGGTTCGCGTGCTTATTATAACAAAACGGTTGAAAACTTTAGATGAAATGAAGGGTTAGAATCATTTGCAATGGTGCAAGTGCATTCACTCTTTCTCTTCCCTTAAATCCACACTCTAAATTGCCTTATAAATGTTTTTCTTATCCACATAAACCATATTTTGTTCTTAAGTCGTATCTTCAATCTATAATCTTTTCTATTACCACTAATACCGTTACTACCTTCTATTATATTGGGATTTGCCCTGACAATTCGGTCTGGTTATGCTCATAAAGTGTGACAAATCGAATCTATGTATACACATGTACCAGATTCTACGTTGAGATCTCTTAGTGGGCATTACTGATGTTAGGGTTAGGATACTAGGTAAGGATGACAATTCAATTGATGAAGTAGTAAATCCTCATCAACTGAGGTGGTTGGAACATGTGTTACGTAAGCCCAATCACTGCGTACCTCGACGGGCGTTGTTGTCTGATATAGGGATAGACTGGATAAAATCTAGGAGCGCCGAAACTAAAATATCGCACCGATCTATGAAGTCATTGACAATCGAACTGAGCTCATGTTAATGGATATAGACTAACTGATTGGTATCTGCGTGATTATGGTAACCGATTTTTGGAGACTCCAGGTTATACAGATCAAAACTGTTTATGATAGCACAGATGCATTCACTTCTGGTCTGCCTCTTAAACCTAACTCCCTAAATCTCATTAAGCCTTTATGTCGTTTTGTATACACGTTTTTTTATTACTTCGGATACTATTACTACTTCTACTACTCTGGAATTTGCCTTAAAATAATCCTATCTCACTGTGCTAATGTAATATGGTAGATTGAAGCGATGCACATATATATATCAGGTTCTGTATTACATATGACTGCGACTAATCATTGAAAAAATTAACTGGCATCGTCTTAGTCTGAGATGACCTACAAAATGAACAGGTTCCAAATATTCTCTATAGCTTTTATACAGTTTACCTTGGATTTTATTACAAAAACCTTTATCGGTACTTGGGGGGTGGGTGGTTATATTATAAAATTGCAATATTTCTAATTACTTTTCTTTTCTCAATAAATACATATTAGTGTTCGTCATTATCGACGTCTTAAACGACAATTGCATACAATTTGTCCTGATTCATTACACTATTGTGGTAAATCTGAACAATGTTGTCTTTCGAATAAATTTGGTTATACTTGCACACCGAATGAGGTATGTTCCTTTTTTGTATTTTTATTCCGAATCAATTATAATTGTAATTTTTATTAATTATTGTTATGTTACACAGTGAAAAGTTTTTAACTAACGAAATAAATTACTATGACTTTAAGTATGTAGAGTGATTTTTGAAATTAAGTTTGATTATATACATTCGCTATTCATCCTCTCAATTTGGTAAGCAACACCACCACTGTGAGAAAGCAGTGACCATATAAGAGAATTTTGAGAGGGAGAGCGGATTTTCCCCACCGTCGGCCGTACTCTAGGGTATTTGGGGGTGGATGTTCGGCATTCTAACCGGGTTGGTAGATATGAAGGGTTCATTTAGGGAAGTTGGAAAACCCTGATTTTAAACTAATGATGAACATGGGCTTCAGAATCATGATGTCATCGGCTACCATAGGATTGGATCTCTTGACGTTGCTCCACTGTCTTGTGGATTAGACCTCTGGGTGAAAGGCTCGAGGAATGGCCCCCTAAGGAAATCACTTTCTTCGTTTTGGGCCCCCGAGTAATATTTCAGGTCTTACACAAATCGAATGGTTCATATGCACTTGGTACTTCCATGTACCAAGGTTCATCTGTTTAAATAAATAATTGGAACTGATTACAGACCGTGTTAAAGTCATCAGAACAGATATGTTGAATAAATTACTATGAATTTAAGTATGTTTAAAATTCAATATTGTGTTACTTGTTCATGTGCTTATTTATTGTTACATATATATTTTCACTACATAAAATGTTATCTTCATATAAATAGCATTAGGAAAACTAACTGATCATTGTTGTTAGAATGGGGATTTGTGGAGATTGTATTAATTTTTAATAGTTGAATTGATAAGTCGATCTAAGCTAGACAACCAGTGAAGATCTGGACGCACTTAAGAGAGCACTTTCGATGCTTCCAGGTTTAGCTTAGATTGACTCATGAATTCAACTAATAAGATAATTGTTGTTCTATGTTGTTATCTTCAAATTGTCTTCGACATTTTTTTGTTCCATTTTTTTTCAGTCCATATGTTGTGGATCTAGTATGAATACTTATTGTCCAATATCCAAGGATTGTTCTCTAGACGGAAAATTCTGTGTTGATAAGTATTAGTTTCACTATCATCATAGTTATTGACGACTGGATGATTATCATTCTACATGTGTGTATGTATGTATGTATGTGTGTGTGTGTGTTTATGGATTACTACAAATCTTGCCATTATTATAAATTTGGATTTGTAACATCTCTTATCCATGTTACTATTTGTGATTCTATTCAATATAAATTCAATTTTCATTATAATTACTGTTCAATATTTTTCTATTGTTAAGATATTTTCATCTCTTTATTAAATAAATTTCATTTTGTGCTATTATTAGCATTGAATGTGCTCTTTTACACTTGATCTGTAATTGGTTTTATACTACAATGTAACAGAGATAAGTGAAGTTGATTTCATATGTGAATTTACATTCAGTTGACTAGTCTCGGTTACTTACTTGCTTACGCCTGTTACTCCTCGTGGAGTAGCATAGACCACCCACCAGCACCTTCCATTCAACCTTGTCCTTCGTCACCTGTGGCGAAGGCGAGATATCCGTCTATCAATAAAAGGACGAGTATACTGCGCGGCAGTCTGTTCTGTTTTAATTTAGGGCAGTGAAACATGGCCATTAAGAGTAGAGGATATTTGTGAGCTACTAGTATTTGATCACAGATGTCTCAGAAATATTGCTCGCATCTGCTGGGATCACCGGGTAAGTAATAGTGAGGTTAAACACAAGGTATTAGGGAATGATGGTTAATCAGTTGATGAGGTTGTGAGTCTTCATCGACTGAGATGGTTGGGCCACGTGTTACGTATGCCTGAATACCGATTACCACGACGTGCAATGCTAACCGGTGTAGGGGGTGGTTGGAAGAAAGTTAGGGGCGGCCAAACCAAAACGTGGCATCAGTGCTTGAAGTCACTAACTTGTATTCTGAGCTATGTTGTTGGTAGATGCAGACTACTTGATTGGGGTCCGCGTGACTTTCGTAACTAATGGTTGGAGACTCTTGGTGACATAGCTCAGAATCGATCACAATGGCGTCGGTGTATACACTCTCTATCTTCCCTTAAACTAAGAGATTAAAATCGCTTCATATCTTTCTTTCTACGAACCAATTTTTTCTTCTTGTACTATATCTCTATATACAATCTTTCCCTTATATATTACCACCTAGACCTAACCACTCCTATGAATCCGGTGTTCATCTTGTGTGCTGATGGGGTATGGCAACCTGGACCGATGCACATATGTGCCTGGTCCTACGTTGTAGCTGACTGACTGTCCTGGGCAATCCTTTCCAGTTGTTATTCATCCTTTTCATATGTGCTTCCATTTCCCGATGTAATGTGTTCTTTGGCCTTCCTCTTTTCTGCTTCGCTTCAGGATTCCAAATTAGGGCTTGCCTCGTGATGTAGTTTGATGATTCCCTCATTGTATGTCCTATCTAGTTTCATCGTCTTTTCCTAATTTCCTCTTCAACCGCAAGCTGGTTTTTTCTTTGCCACAGTACGCTGTTGTTGATGGTATCCGGCGAACGGATATCGAGTATCTTGCGTAGACAACTGTTTATAACTACTTGTACCTTCTTGATGATGGTTGGTGTGGTTCTCTATATGTTTGTCTATATGTTTGGAAAGAGAAAGGCTTCTTGTAGTAACTACATAAAAAGTGATATGACATACGATACCGAAAATGATCACCAGTAACTATGTCTAATATTAACGGAAATTTATCAACAATCAAAGTATGTGCAAACTAAGATTTTGATTAAGATCATTAACCGATTGATGTTACACCAGCATTGAAAACTAAGAGCCATACAAATAAAGGGAGTTTTCACGTTTAACCAAAGATACAAGAAAAAAAATTCCTTTAAAAAAACTAGAAATAATTCTTATAAGGGTTAAGAGAAAGTAGTTATAATGAATTATGCATCAATTGTTATTAGTTCATGTAAATACTTGGCGATGTTACGCAGCGGTAAATGAAAGCTACATTATAAATTGCTAGATATGGGACTACCTACTGAATAATAATAAGTAGTAGGAATCAATATACGATCGACAGGAGAATAATGTATGAAAATATCCATCAATAGCTGGAATGTAGATCTGACCTATCAGATAATGATCCGTTTAAATTGTACAGTAGTATGTTTTATCATTTTTGTTCACATTATGTTTAAGTTGGTCATAGTGATTATCAGATAAACACAACTGTATAGGAAGAAATGTCCTGTTTTATTTGAGATCCACATGAACGAGAGTACACTGGAACAGTAAAGTTGCATTTGGTAGGATTGTCGACTTTGAACAAACTTTTTATTCATTCATAGTCTAGCACGAGTGTGTGTTGACTAAAGTTGTCATACTGCTTTAACAAGAAAAGGTGATGGGCAAGAGAATCGAAATGTTGTTGCAATGGTAATGAGAAATACTGAACTTTGAGAATATGTTCTGAGAAAAATGAGGGGAAAGGTACGTGTGAAAGAATACTGGAATTGAGGATCGAGAGGTGGATAAAGAGTAGTATATGCCACCTCACCGTTATGATCGATTTAGAGACATGTCACACATTATCTCTAACCATTGAGAGGTTTATTCGCGTACCACAATTAAGTAATCGAGATCTATCTGCTAGGCTCAGACCAAAAATTAATAGTCTTCATATAACCGTTATGATAACTGGAATGAATTTGCTTTATTATAATTACCGTTACACCATGGTCCGCTACAATACGGAGAATTATTGCATACGTCACTGTTCTTCCGCTTTGGCCCGGAATCACAACCGCGTACAGCCTACATGTGGCCTGCTCTGTCATTACCAACATACACTGATTCCCATTAGATGTTCTATATCATATTGATTACTAGAGGCTATTTCGAGAATTTTATCAACGTCTCTTCGCATGACAGAAACTCAGGAATGCTATGAAAATTGATATAGCCAAACAAGTTTATAGCCCAACTATAGTGCTTATTCAGTACCAGTCATTCATATCAGTAGCATGATAAGTTATTCAAAGTCATAACGGTCACTGTTTTTCTTATCAGTCCAGATATTTCTTTTTTCATCATCTGATTCATATTATATTTAAACTTACAGGTTGGAAACGCTTTGTAATAACTATGAACACTACATTTGTCAATAACACAATATATTTTAGAATGCTTTTTTGATATGGTATAGCTTGGAAAGCAATTCTCACTACGAATTCCTTAAGTTATTCGTGAGTCAGTTTTGGAAACACTGTGTTGAACCATTTATCTTGTTAGGTTATGTCAACATTCGGTTTTCTGGCGCCAGTATAAACATATTGTAACCCATTCGCAGTTGTATCATTTGGGATCTGTAGTTCGTGGTCGGAATCCACAGTCAGTGAAAATATTCAATGAAAACAGTTGTAATAGTCATCATGCCAGTATTGTTGTATCAGTGAATAAAACTTGCTATAACTGTTGAATAAATAGATTGTTGTATTATTGCTTGTTCACTAATTCTGGTTTGACAGTTTGGAATAGTTAATTACACTGTATTTAATTCTCTATTAAGAAGTCAATATTCTAAAAACAATGAACGCTTTTCTTATAATACATGAAACATAAACTTCACTTTAAATGTCCAAGAGTGACTAGTGATTTTTAATTTGTCTTCAACCCATTAGAGGCTATTCAGAGTATTATAGAAAGATTGTATTTGATAAGTAAAAAACTTCTTCAGTGTTTTCAAACTAGATGCGATCATGAAATTGAAGATGCCATAGGTATTCGGAGTTTGACAACTCTTTAATAAGTAACATCTAATATGAATCGTACCCACCAAGTGAAATCAAAAGTCAAAAGCGAGCAGGTTCGAAGATATATTTGATAGGCTGTCAATATATCGAGGATCGTCTGATCTAATTTGGCTAGCAATTGCAGGATAAGTTGAACACGGCGTTCCCACTCATGATCTGGTGTGGATGAATGACCGAGCGCCTTCAGCTAGATAAGTCCATTAAAACGAATGTGGTCAGCATCCAATATCGAAGACTTACAAACAGAGTTATTGATTTTGGAGATTTATTGACCGCTACAAAATAATCACAAGTCGATAACTGTCGAGTGACAAGTAACACTCGATACAAGTTTCCCGTTAATTCATGACTCCTCGTCAATGGATATCAGATTATTACTTCATTTAAGAATAGATGTAGTGCATATAATCTTTACGACGTGATGACAAAAGAATACAAACTACATGTAATCTACTACGTAAGCTGAGACAGATATGGTCAATACTATATGAGATCATAGGCTGCTCTCTTCATACTCATACAAGTAAAAACAAGGTGGTTGTTCAAATATGTTTGTTTATATCAATGTTTGTGGATAACTGTTCGTATGAGTCAGACGTATAAATCGTCAAAATATTCGACAGAGACAATACAAATAAAATCAGAGGATAGTTAGAAATCCGAAACCGAGTTCATTTAGCTATCAACAGGCATATCCCAGTAGATTGAATCTATCAGTCAGTATGCAAAATGTTAAACAGAGAACAGATCAAGAAGGGAAGACGAAAATCAAAGTAGGCGTGTGGATATTAGTATTGGATTTATGCACAATAATCAATCAGATTAGATGTCAATAGATTAAGCTATTAATCACTTGCACAAGAATGTAACTAACTCACCACATCCTTAAATATATGTTCCTGATGATGTTGTCCAGAAGGACAATGAAGTATTCACAATCAAATTTTCAAACTCACAAGATGAACATTCTTCTCTCTTACATTTTAAATACAATACCATTTGTAATCTAATCTCTACAAATGGTATGGTGATGCAATTTTAGCTGTAAATAAATCTCCAAAATCAATAACTCTGTTTGTAAGTCTTCGATATTGGATGCTGACCACATTCGTTTTAATGGACTTATCTAGCTGAAGGCGCTCGGTCATTCATCCACATCAGATCATGTGTGGGAACGCCGTGTTCAACTTATCCTGCAATTGCTAGCCAAATTAGATCAGACGATCCTCGATATATTGACAGCCTATCAAATATATCTTCGAACCTGCTCGCTTTTGACTTTTGATTTCACTTGGTGGGTACGATTCACATTAGATGTTACTGGTTAAAGAGTTGTCAAACTCCGAATACCTGTAGCATGTTCACAGTAAAGTTTGTCCTGCATTGTCTATGATAATTCAGAAGAGTAATATTCACTACCTATCGCTTTTTGTACAAACAGACGAATGGGATCATTTCATAACCTCTATTTAAATGTTCCTTGTGGGAGATTTTTTTTAGCCAAAATGATTTCTGAATGTTTCAAACCTTGGGAA